AGAGGACGCAGCAGGCTCGGTGCAGATAATAATTTAGCATTTCAGGTAGCGGGGAAGCCGGGACTCTCCTGGCTTTTCCCCCCCTCCCAGAGCCAATGCTGGTGGGGATTTTTAAAAAAAATATAGATATTTCGGAAGGTTTTGAGCCTCCAAGAGTGGGGGGTGCCACATTATCCCAGCGGTGAGAGAGCAGATGTGTTCAATTTGGTTCAACCTTCTGCCCAAAACAACAGACATGAGCTGGGGCAAAGCCAGCCAGGACTGAAAAAAAGCCACAGAATAAATCTGGGTGAGTTTATTCCAGCTCGGCACCAGGTTGCGTCGTGATGCCAGCAAGTCCTAACGCCGTAATTCATTGATTCTGTCATCAAGCTGCTGCTAGCAGGGGCTGGTGGGGCCTCGCTCTTTCTCTAATCACCCCAAAAATCAGCATTTCTCAGGAGCTTTTCTCCTCCTCCTACCATCCAGAGGATGCTGGACCCAATGGCAGGCTGAAGGGGAGGATGAGGGGGTTTGGGGGAGGGGGGGAGGCTCCTTCCTTACCTGGGAAGTGCTTTACCTCCGTGTCCCCCCAGGAAAGAGGTCCTCCACCTGGAGCTTTGCGTTCTGATTCCTCCCCGAACGGTTCAGACCTGGATCGCAGGTAAACGGCGCCCAGCGGGCTCCCTCACCCGCTCCCCCCCATCCCCAGGGCACCAGCACCCTCCGTGGGAGACATTTTCGGGGTCACCGGCCGAGGCTTCCGGCTGAGCATGACTCGCTCGAGCTGATTGCCATCATCCTGGGGTTTTTCTGACATATCAGAGTATGTTTTCGCAGCATCCCATCGGTATTTTGGGTGCTTTCGTTCGCTGGTCCCAGCTATCAGGGTTGTTGGGAGCGGGGCTGGGCGGGATGGCGCATCCCAAGCACGGCAGGAGAGGGTTTACAGCAGTAAAAACGCCGCCGGGTCGCAGCCACGGGGATTTTTAGGATCGGGATCTACATCTGAAGCCTGAAAGCTTGGGAATATTCCCAACCTGCAGCTGTGAATGCTGCAGATTGTCCGTATGAAAGGCAAAATATCATATCTTTATGAATTTTTTGCTGGCGGTAGCATCGTGCAGCGCCATTTGCTAGGGGTGCTGGCGTGGTTTTGGGATGCGGATACCTGTGCCCGGATCCTCACTTCCCTCTCTCCTCCTCCTCCTCCTCAGTATTACGCTTCACCTGAAGATTTCGTGCCCGTCGTCTCCCGCATTTAACTACTCCCGAAACCCCATCTGCGCCGTGCCCCAGGTGAAGATAGAGATGGAGTCGGACTACGAGGACACCGACACCGAAAAGCCACCTCGGGACATGGGCAGTGAGACCACGCTATAGTCTCGTGCAGCGCTTCCTCAGCGATTTATATATATATATAGATATTTATGTATTCATATATATATATAAAGAAAATTGGGCTTATTTTGCTATGCGAGACGGAGGAAACCGGTGGCCCCAGGGGTCCGTTGCTCTGGTAGTCTTTAGCATCACGACTTAAACGCGTTGTTGAATTTTCTCCTTTTCTGCCGGGAAAAGGCGTCACCGCTGGTGGCAAAACAGGGCTGAAAAGGTGGAATTGGTGATTTTGGCCTCCGCTCAACCCGGAGCCGCTGCTGGGCTGGAGAAGCTGAAGGTGGCCGGGGCTGCGGGAGCAGCGGGGGTGCTGATGGGGTAGGAGACCGCGCTGGGGTGATGTTTTTGAGGGGGATTTTTGGGTTGGGGAGGTTTGCCTGGTTGAGAAGGACGGAGAAGCGCGCATCCCTGCTCCCCAACCCCTGAAACGGCACCGCGGCTCTCGGGGAGTCTTGTTTGGTGAAGGGGACGGCGCATCGGGCTTTGCGTTGCCGGGAGGACGCCGGCCCCGGCCCACGGCA